CTTCTACTCAACGGTTCATCCTGCCTTGATATGCGCCTCAAAGGCTCTACAAAGCCAGCTCAACATGCAGGCGCTCACAATGTCTGATATAGCTCCGAGGCTCTGGACGATTGATCAGGGATGCTGTCGCTCACGATAATGAATAGAAGGTGACGAGGGCCTGACTCGTTAGACGATCTGATGACTGTTGGACTAAGAAGGTCACCAACTGGATCTCTCGGAAATTGAAACGAACGGCCGGTCGCCCGCCAGTGCGATGGTCAAATTCTTCACGAAAGCAATGGGAAGAAATGCCATGCTTCGTGTTTCTCGGGCTAAGACTGCTCTAGCAACCTCTAGACTGCTCTGGCACGCGACAATGACTAATAAAATTATTACAATTATCGACGCCAGAGGAAATTGATGATAGTAGCGACGGGTGACACAGATGATACAGGTGATTGAAACAAATGGTTCCGGATTGAATTCTCGATGGTATTGCTACTTCTCCGGACGCGACTTTCGCAAAATTCAACACTCCTGCAGAGAGTCGAAAAATAAGTAGCTTAAACAGCTAACAAGGTTGTACTGATGTATCAGCCCAGAAGCACTCTTCCAAACCAAATTCTTGCTTCATTTTCCAATGTAACTCATTGCGTTCTGGATTGAGGACAAGGACTCGCTCGAGGAAACATGCGCTTCCCAAAGAGGAGGCGTTCTGTCGCCCTGCCACATGCTTTCGTCACTACCATCAGGTGGCGGCTTGTATGGTCCGAGAACACTTGCCTGAGTTTCCTTCTGCGCGACGGAGTTTTGCGTTGGAGTCCTTTTTCAATCTCTATTCGTATAAATATCTTAATATAACCAGTAGTTCAACGACACGTCTGCATGACTGAACGGCTAAGAGTAGTCCACCTCAGCTCCCTCTGATCCGGAGTGGCTATAGCCACGATGGTGAAAACTCAGCACTGGTCCTGGCAAGGCCGTGTTGACACTCCAAAAAGCAAGCTCCTTAAAACAGCAATGAAGCAGCCTCAGTACCCCGCACACTGGGCCCAGCCGTCTCCGGTGTCGGACGGTATGGCGACCGGCAAGAAGCGAAGAAATTTCGGGTTGTGCAGGACGCCTTGGTTTTCGAACCATGACAGCACTCTCTCAACACTACACAGAGACTGTTTTCTACTTTATACCTACAACGCGCGAACAGTCTCTTCCAGTGCCGCTCTTCATGAGCTCCTCGATGCGGCTAGCCACATTAAGTATCATGTGATTGCGCTGTAAGAAACAAGAGCAGGAGGACCAACGTGCGACCAATGAGCGATGGACGCCCATCACTCGTGGCGGAAAGCTCCCATCGCGAAATGTCGGTGGCATTGGTTTCGTTGTGCATCCACCCGTTCATTTCGTCGATTCTCACGCAGTCCTGTCTCCTCGCTTTGCCATCCCACGCCCACGACATACGCACCTGAAGACCATCTCTATCGTCAACTGCTACCCTCCACACTCTACAGCTGACATGTAGAGTTCGATGCGTTTTACGACCAACTAAAGGAAATCCACAACGAAAAGTCCTTCTACAAAGTTCGGAATGGGAGACAGAAACGAGTGCGGGAACCGTCTAGGTAGATTCCTATCCGCGGCTCGAATATCCCAAGGAAATTCTTTGTTCCAGAAGAAGGAACGTCGCCGCTGCACATGGAAGTGTCCAAACGGTACAACTCAACACAACTGCTGAACTGGACCACATACCAGAAAGTGATGCTCACTATATTTTGGTGTGGTACCATCTCTCTGCAGTCTTTCAGATCATCGACATGTTCGTGCTAAGATCAGACTCATTCACAAGCTGGAGGAGATCTCTCAACATCGCGCAAAGAGCTCGATCATATTGTATACGACGCAGATGTTCTGGATGACGTCTTGTCTCGATATGACTTGCAACTCTTGGATAACCCGATCGAAGACTACTAAGAGTTGGTTCGAGGTCTCTTTACTTGTGAATTCTGTCGAAAACTGGTTGGTGACCCTTTAAATGTTTCGGTTGTATCCTACCGAGCCTGACGCCGTACAATTCTTAATTGACGTGATGATCAGCCGAAGTCGGAGAATGGAGGGAACGATATTCCGTCTTGTCTGTGATATTAGGTAGGCAGGTGGACGTGGCTGTCGAAGTGGTCCGAGTAAAAGTCGCAGATGTCCTTCTTTACGGCTCGTAAGTGTTCCGTTAATACGTCGAAGGAAAGACATCTTAGTCTTATAATTGGCAATGTTCCGGAAATCTTTGCGAACGCTCTCGCCGGTTTTGGAGGCTTCGTTCATGAATGTCGCTCTTCTTTTTCAGGTTTTCCTTTATTGCATCTTTGCATAGATCCAGAGGCTAGTTGAAATTGCTTACAGATCGCGCTTACACAATTGTGTAACATCTCGAGTTCTCGAAGACAGACGTCCTTCGGCTTCCAGTAGACTCACTGCATTTACAGCACTGTCGTGAAGATATTCGACGTGCAGATTGTATTCTTCTTGTCGACAGCGGAATCTTTCCAGAGACTTGCAAGACAAGCGAGGTGTCCCGGTAGACAAAAGCCCTGGGGCATCTCTTCCTGAACTTCGGAGGTTTCTGTCCACGCGCTGCAAAACAGAATTAAGCGCGGAGGGAACGATAATCCGATCCCGAGTAAAACTTCGAAACAACAGCGATCAAGGAACATTTCTTATCCAGTATCAACTACGTCTCGTATCGGTCATCGAAGACTTCGTAAGCCGCGGATTCGTTAGCTTGCATCATCTGATCTTGTGTACATGCTGTCGATGCAAGCGCGTTGAAAGCACAGATTGCTATCTTGATCCATCTCCTTCTAGGCGGCAACTTTTGGCCCTGAATTTCAGCAGCCCATACCATGCCGGTCTACCCAACGCTGCCAAATTGGGGCTCCCTTTGATTCAGAGGAACTGGGCCCACTTATGTTTTTGTTTTAGACATATGGGATATATGGACCAGTACAAGAGAAACAGGGAAACCAGCCCCAGGTCCACTGCGTCTCTGGGCCCGACGACTTTTGGTGGGCGATTTACTCTCCTATTCGCCACCTGGAGATGCCCAACGTAGCCTCGTCGCTAACCGTTTAGAGAGCCTTCAGTGAGAGAGTACTCTAAGCGAAAGAGATCCGTAGTCAGATGGCATAGTTGCTATATTTGTTGTTGTTAAAGTCATTGCGTTGAGGAATTAACTTCAGCCATATCAAACTTTGAATAAGTAGGATGGCACTTGACCAGAAAAAAGTAAAATGTTTCAATATGTTTCCTATTTCACTTAAACAATCGAAAACTTGCCCCTCATCACATTCAGTGGTGGGCATTCGCAGTGGATAAGTCGAAAACATTGCGCATTGATCAGGCGCCGCGAGCGGTCGACCCTGCCCTAACTCTGCCGTCCGTTCTGGGCCGTTAACTTTAATTTTCTGTTTCTTGTCATTTCGCCGTCAACATTTCTGTTTTTCTCCCTGATCACCGCGCCTGAGGAGGCCGGGGCAGTCGTTGGTCTGATACTTTATTCTACTCCTCCTATTCTTATCTGATGTTCTGATGGCTACCACGCCGCGCCGTTCGTCCTCGGTGCCGTTTAAAAGATTAGGACTGGATCCATCTCCCCAAGTGGAACGCCGTGATGAAGATTTGAAACAATTGTTTGCTGATGCCACTTTGCCGCCTTATGTAAGGTTAATCCTTCAATTTTGCTTGATACTAAGAAAGAAATTACCGAGTTGACTCGACAGTGTCGAGATGGAATTTCTGAGAATGAAGCATTAAGTGAAGAAAATGAGTCTTTGAAAAACCAACTTAGTTCATTTATCTCTACCCAGTCTTCTTAGCCCATTCAATGCAGCTCCGAGACCGATCCATTGCCTGCCAAGAACCCTGCTCCCGTGATGGATCCTGATCTAACTCGCTCGATTGCTATTGCCGGGATGATGGAGAATCGATCGCCCAATTCAATGACAGGGCTAATTATGATCATCATTGTACATGTTCCATTCTCAATTTTCTAGACATCGAATGTCTTCCTTCCACGGTGTATTGTATTGGGGTCTTCCACCCGAATAAACTTCGACTTGTAAAAATTGTCCTTCCCTCTGCAAAAATTCAGAGACTGACATTGCAGCGTGCCCCGCGCCTGCGATCCTTTTCCCAGAAAGGTTTTTTCCCTCGCCCCTCTTTGACCGAAGAGGAAAGGAAAAACAGGCGTAAGGAGCGTTTGTCCAGGCTTTCTCCTGCACATTTTCTGGTCCTAACAACGCCGAGTCAGTTTCGGCTTGTGTTTCGGGGTCTCAACCAGCAAAGGAGTAAACCACTAATTCATCCTCGGTCTACGGAGCTCAGAGTTTCTCGCATAATGTCGAAGGTAAGATCTTTCCCTAAAAACTATAAATCTTTGATTACCATGCTGCTTCTAAATGATTACGACTTACAAGGGAAGGATCCCAAGTCGAAGTGGCCATTTGAAATGGGA